AAGGCTCGATCAAAATTAAATTATGATCGGAAATGCAACCAAGTAACCTTTTCGCCGAATGACCTTGTCTACGTATTGAAGGAACCTCGCCTATCAAAATTCGATCAACATTACGAGGGTCCTTACAGAATTCGCGAAATTTCAGAACAAAATAATGCGATTTTGTTGGCAGGAAACGGTAAGAAAATTGCGAAACACTTGGACAAGCTGAAACATGCTTACGTTAGGTTGAAACCTCCTTGACGATTCTAGTCGCGAAGGACGGTCACTCAACTCAGAAAGTTAGCAAATTGCAACGGTCGGCGTGATTTGTTCAAAGATCGACGGTGTTAAACACCCATTCCAATTTCCTAACAAAACTTCCTCACTCTCTTTCCTATAAAACTAATTATGGTAGGTCCACAGATCTTATCATATTTCCGTATCCAAAGTCGTGAGTAAACAATGGCAACCAGAGTTGGAATTCTGCTCGGAATTATATGGGTCATAACAACACCAGCTCAAACATTGAAAGATTACGAATTAGCAAAACTGAAGTATAACTCCGGCCTATACTACGAAGAACTTCCCACATTGCGTATCACACATGTGACTTGGAAATTAGTAACTTCTTTAGAAATCAGCGAACTTCTAAGCATTGGACGAAATATTCGGAATCAAATAGAACAAGTACGGCGACTATGTTCCCAATATGACGACGAGACTTGTAATAACGAAACTAACACGAAGGAGGTAGGCCGCAAATTAGCAGAAGCCACGGCATACGAAGAACTCCTAAATAACGTCATAGGGAACCCTAACCCTTCCTGGAAAGAAAGAAGCGCGCCGCTAGGATTCATAGGGACAGTCAGCCGGTTCCTATTCGGAACCCTCGACGAAGACGACGCGCGATTCTACAACTCAGAGTTAGCAAAAATCCACGAGGACGAGGCACGCGTGGCCGAACTGCTCGGAAACCAAACCCATATCATTTGGTCGGAATTCCAAAGCATACACACGGAACTGACCGACCTCCGTAGAGTAACGATAAATATGAGTTACAGGATTACCGAACTTCGGAATTCTGTGAATTAGAAAAGAGGCAGCGTATAGTAGAAATAAAATCGGCGGCGAGCAAATGGGAATATCACCTTAACAGACAGACGGATGAATATGCAAGGCGTTTGACGATTCTAGTCGACGCGATTACTTTTGCTAAGCTAGGAGTTCTGCATCCGGCGGTCATATCACCTAAGCAGCTTGAATCATCATGCCAGAAGATCCAACATAATTCCCAGTACGAGTTCCCGCTGACGCAACACGAAATCCTAACCGTGCAGCTGCAAGGGATCACACACCTGAAGTTAGCACGTGCCAATGACAGAATAATTATTTCAATAGAAATTCTGGTTTTAGACCTCACCTCTTTTAAATTATACCGCCTACACCCTTTACCCTCATATCAAATGCTCGCCCTTAAGACATCCTCTCCAATAATCATACAACCTTCCAGTCCTTATTTAGCAATGAATGAAGAAAAATCGCAATATTTCATGGCGGACAAACAATACCTAAATACCTGCAGGGTACATCCACAAAAATACATCTGCGATCTCTCTCTCCCCCTCGAATCATTGGACGAAACCCCTAACTGTGAAACAGAATTACTGACAAACCCGCGCAAAATTTCGTGGTCTAGATGCAACGTCCACATCGCTGTCATTAGACCCACGTACAGAAAAATTTAGTATGTCCCAATAGTTGGTTATATTCAATAGAGATAGCGGGAAAACTACAAGTGAGATGCGACGATAGGTTGATAGCGCAAGAAGACGTGAAGGGAACTGGAATACTCGCTCTACGACAAAATTGCAAAGATTTTCATGCACATTCACAAGATTTACAACCCTGTGAGAAACATAAACATAACATACGTCATGCCTGCAATGACACCCTATCATATTTCGGCCATTACCAATCAAACGAGAAGGAACCAGAAAACCTTCCGCGACGACAACACCTTAGGAAACACCATCGCTTTGGAAAATATCGAGAAAGAAGCCAAAATTTTAGCCGCTCACGAAAGAGTTCAAAATATAATAACATAGGAGTAAAAGTGACTTCTGTAACAACGGGAATAATAGTAATTGCCATAATTCCCACAATCAGTGTATTATGGTATAAAAGATATAAAAAACGAAAATGCATCAGGGGACCTGAGAAATCCACACTGCTGAGAACAGTCATGTCAGCACCGACGCTGCCCGTGGTGACACCCCTCACCCCACCTTCCTCGTTGGAAATGCACGAACTCACTCTACAAGGACCATGTAAGACCAGGAGTCGCCGGTAGCAACCGTTTCTCACCCGTCAGCACTAACGACGAAGACTCCGACCAACGGGAGCAGAGAGGGAGAAGCAACGAAGAACTTATAAAACCGGACCGAATTGGCAAGGGACAATTAAAAGTTACTTAGACAAGAAGCAGCATACAACTCAGTCGAGATGGGATACCAATCACGCTATCCAAGGCTACGCTTGGACGCGTACCTGGACGACAGGAGTGAGCCGGGACCTAGATTGTTGGCCGAGGCCATTCTGCCGGCAAACGATCAGGCGCCCTTTCAGTGCCGGAGGTGCGTCCGGGGGACAGCTCTGGTTCTTGACACGCACCAGGTGCTGTGTGGGCCTTACACGTGGTTGGAGGATGAGGAGGATCTCCAGCAATTTCACTGGGGGCCACACCATTATCTTATATTGGAGGACCGAGTATGGCACGCCACCCTGTGCACCCGCTGCAGGAACCCAGTGCTGCGAATACGGGACAACAGTAAGTGCACAGGGTGCCTGCGGGCTTACCTAGCGGTGCCCCGACAACACCGGCCAGCCTTCCCGCGGCTCAGAGCCGCACCGCGACGGTTCGAGGTCGAGACCTCGTATTAGTATTTTATATACATTATTTATATGTATTATTATAGTCATTTAATATTATTTGCTATTGTTTGCTTTTATATAATAAACATAAATACACTACAATTATACTTCATCATTAATTGCGAAAATACGATATTTCAAGTCTTCTATAATAATCATCATCAATATTGTCATTTACTTCTACTGCTACTAACAAATTGGTTACAAATAAACATAATACTATTGTATCATTACTACCACCACTATTATTGTGATCATTCATAACTGCGATTTCATTTAAATATAAGTCATACTCATCCAAAAATGCGCAATGAACAGAGGATAATCTCGAAAAAGTCTCTCGAGACTATTTCGAGTCTAAGGTGGGGGATGTTATATCCTGTATTCTCAGAACCTCTTTTCATTGCACACTTTTATCATATTACTTTCAAACGCGAAGAACGAGCGAAAACCGTTAATTCAGCGACACGTGGAAACAACGGGCATGGTTGTCCTTCTTCGAGACGCTGACAGAAACGTCAGCGATTCTAAAACTTCGCTTCGGCGACCATCATGAATCATAGCCTGTTGCTACCCCCCATCTTGCGCGTTTTCTAACAAAGGGAAGGGCGAAAAAACTTACAAAAGGATTGTTCAAAACCGGGGAAGCTCAGTATTCCGGCTCTCATTTACATCGTGACAGATTCGGCTCGTGTGACATTCTTCTACGCCTTGTTCGTTCGCTCTTCGACAATCGCGCTCCGCTTTAATCTCTTATACGTGACAGCGGGCTGAGCGATAACGGTCACTCAGCTGTTCAGTTCGGGTTTCGCGACGATATCTCTTCCTTCTACGACGCGACCTCGCGATTACGCGCGGCCAACAGACGAGTTTTATAAGACACCGGACCGCGAAGTGAAACGTCCGAGACGGCGACAACGTATCCCGCAGTGCTTAAACCCTGTATCACGGCTCCGAGCGCCAGCGAGTCTTCCGCCCTTTCAAGGACCCGAAATCCCGATAGAACCGACTAAAGCGACACGAACGTATCATTCATCTTCATCACCATTGGTATGTTAAGACTTATTTGTATCTTTTATTTTATTTTGATTGTTAGAATATATCTTTATTATTATTATAAACGAGAGTGATTTCCTATTCCTCCCGTTCCAAATCCAAACCGCGTACTTCACCGATAAGTTTTGACAGGGCGTGCTTTAGCACCTTAAAAGAGCCAGGACCCGAAATTATAAGTAGAGTAACGACCGCAACGCTGGACGTAACATCTTAAACATTATTTTTTATTCGAAGCCTTCGAATAAAAGGTGAATAATTCATACTGTTTCGCTAATAGCATGATATCTGAGTTGTATTTGACTACGAGATTCAATATATTACAAAAGTAGTTTGTAAAGGATTGAAACTTCAACATCATTTTTCAAGAGAATGGTTGAGGTGCGACCCCTGGTTCCTTTCAGACTTTTTATCTTCACGATGAGTAGAATATAATGCAACGATAAAAAAAACGAAAATGCGTCATTCATTTGATCTTTCTTGTAGATTTTTAAACACTAAATAGTACTGTTTATTATTGTTTTTTGAATTGGATGCTCGATGACTTGAGAGGATAAGAGGATCCGAGGTATCCAAGTAAAAGAGATGCTGTGCACTGGTTGTGAGTGCAGCAGTTTGTATCCGAAAGAGTATCAATTTCTTAAAAGAGAGCAAGTAGGAAATAAAAAAATATTCAAAAACCAAGATATTTTTTGCTAAAGTTTTAGAGTTAAGTTTTTAGAGATTCCATTCAAATTGACAATCTTTAGAAGTTAAACTGAAATGTTTATAGCATATTTAAGAATGGTTGACATAGATCCATTTGTTTACTAACAGGTATTTTCCGCAAGAGCAATTACCTCCTAATATTTGAAGAAGGGTTAATACTGACAAAGCATATTTGATTTCTTGGATTTTGTCCACTGATTACCGCACTGTGTGACGGCCTCGATGCTGTGGCGGATCGCAAAGTGGTAAACAATACTTGTGATTTTTAAATTCTTAAATTCTATGTATGTAACATAAAAATATAGTAATAAATTAATGCTACTTACGAATCAAATGAGGTCATAGCTTCCCTAATATAATTTAAACTCTGCTCAGACAAGTGCCATTCGAGTTTTTCAGGGGCGGGTAAATGAGATGGCACTGTATTTTCATCCGATGGAGGCATCGAGTCGACTTTTTCTGTTAATTCTTCGAACGCCTTGAATATCGCTGGAGCTTCGCCAGCTGAGTGTTCGTACGTTAAACCCCACATTCCATCCTTGAATGAATGAACGTAGAAATGATGTACAACGAATTGTCAAGATTCTATTACAGGAAACTAATAGATTTTTAGGGCATAAAATGTTCGGCCAAGTGAAAAATTTAAAAAATCGCTAACCACCATGAGTTTTAGTTGCGATTACTTCAGTGTTGGGCAAATTTAATTTCGAATAACGAATAAAAAAATGGCGAATGATAGTTATCCGTGGATAAAAAATATGTCAATATCATTCGTCATCGTTTCATTCGTTATTCGCAACAACAGTGGACTCTAACTATATTGCCACTAAACATAGTGCCACGCGAGGCACTTCCCCTTCACACGTACTTTCCCGCACATAAATTCGCTCTCCCACCACGTTGCGTACGCCGACGCACTAGCCAATCCAGCTTTTGCGCAGGCGCTGTAGCTGAGGCTAAGACGTCAGAACTTAGCACGGAGGGCGCTCTGAACTAATTGCCATTTTACTCCCCTACAACCCCGAGTATGGCAATATATTATAGTATAGTTAAATGGGAAGTCGGTTGCGTGAGTGTAAAAGGAAAAATAAAGGACTCGGAGGAAAAAACAAATTAACAGGAAAAATTATTGATAAATTATTAGTATATTACGGATTAGCAATTCGACGAAACTGTCACTCAGTGAAGGAAATGTATGGTGCGGTATGGGCTACATATTTCCAATATAGTTACGATCACAACAAGTGCCCGATTGGAATCGAATCATGGTGCACCTGGCAGCGCGCTTCGGCGAACGGTGAACTTAGAGATTATAAGCACGATTATAAGGCTCTCCCACAAGATGTTTTGGATGCAATTAACCCCATATATGTGGACCTAACCAGGTCTGAATTATTAGAGAGATGTTTTGGTAGGGTCAATCAAAACAACAATGAAAGTTATAATCAATTAATATGGAAAATAAGTCCGAAAATTCTCCCAAGTGGATTCGCTACGGTAGAACTAGCTGCACACATCTCCGCCTGCAGGTTTAATGAAGGCTATTGGGGGATTTTACAAATATACGCGGCTATGGTGATCAAGTGTGAACTAAATATCCATTTATATTTGACAACGGAGGACTCGACCCGCGTTAAGACGGCTGACCACCGAGCGCAGGAAACCACCCGCGAGGAAAGAATGCTTCGCAGACAGCGACAGCTGGATATATTAGAAGCTTACACCTAGTGCAGCAGGTTTGTCGTATAAGCCCGGAATTGTTGACTCCATGTAAGTTAACAAGTGAACATTTTATATAAGTGTAATCTTGACTTGAAACTTTAAACGCGTGTTTCTCGAAACTACACTTTTCAAATCGGTGATCAATATTTCTCGAAAACTACTGTATCGATTTACATGAAACCTTTTGCGCCTTGTTTCAAATCAGAAAAACTTGTTCCTGAATGAAGGATTTTTTTTTCGTTCCATACTTTTTTTTTAATTGACCAAAAACGAGTGAATTTTAGGTGAAAATCGCGCTTTTTCAGGAAAATGTCCGCCATTTTGTTCCTAATCAGTATTTCGAAAAACCCCACGTTCAAGGACAAGATTAGTTCTTCCATTACATAAATCTAACTGAATTTTTAATTTCAGATGAACCGTTACGAAGTTAGAGTGATCACGGCAGACCACTTTTTGTGAAGAGACACCCGGGAGATCGCTCACCATTTATTTACTAATAAATATATTTAAATAAAAAAATTAGCTTATAATTTAGAAACTCCAATCTTTGAAACACAAACACATTTGTTGAAAAAGGACTTATAGTTTGCGAGAAAAAAATTCCCAGAAACACTCTTTTTTCGGTCTCCTGACTGAGCATGACCTCTTAAAGTCCACTGTACTTTCGACGAATACTGAAATGGAATTACGAATAAAATTTGAATTCGTTATACGTTATTCGAATAACGTCCAACACTCGTATGACTTTCTTATCAGTTTGAACATACTGTCGCGATAAATGAATGAAATTCAGAAAAATGAAAATATTTTCATAAACGTTCAATGCTATACAACGCTATGAAGTACCAATTTGGGGAAGAAATACAGGCTACAGTTGAAATGTTAGTATTAGCAGAAAAAAGAGACGACTCGTTACGCAAAACTAAATCATAATTACAGAATAAAATGGTTTTACACGTACTCCAGAAGATCGATTTTGAAAATCTTTTGAATATAATTATAATTATATACGATCTAACTAACATAACCGTTCATTAGTTACTGTTTATCAGAGTTGGGCAAAATGTAATATAATTACAAAATCCAAATCACAATGTGATTGCAATGTAATGTTAAGACAATTACAATTACATTGTAACTATACCACACTTACAATAAAAATTACGATGTAATTGTAATTGTCCCGCAATTATATTGCAATTACATTGTAGTTGAAATTTAGATTCTGTAATTAAATTACATTTTACCCGACTCTGCTGTTTATACGTATGCTTATTGTAAGCGTAAATACATATGTTGTAGAAGACAAATTTTCAGTGTCGATTTTAACGAAAACTAAGTCTCAGACGCGAGAAACCATATTTTTCAGTTTTCATTTATTTTTGCGTAACGAATCATTTGATACTTGTTTGTACCATCATTTTAGCCACGCCCTGTACATTTTTGTAAAAATCAAAGTATGCTCGTACCTTGCCAAGGATAGCCTGGAAAGTTTTGTCAAACCAGCGATTTGCACCCAAATATCTGGAACCGCCGCCGTGGAGGGCATGATGAAGAATATTCGCGTAATCTCGATCTGCAATCCATCGATCCTCTTTCTTCAAAGCATTATTGAATGTTGCTGGTAAGATATCGTCGTCGATGCAGACCACGCATAGACAACGTTCCAATAATTCCAGATTGTGTCGATTCCGTTCGTCTGCAAATTTTTTCGAATTCTTATACCGCTCCGACGATTACAGCATCGCTCGAAGATTTAGAATCATTTTGAATATTAAAGAATTGTGTTAGATTTATAAACAGGACACGTTTTGGAATGCAGTAGACTGTCTAAACGAATTTATTAAAGCTTCCAATTCAAGTGAATTAAAATTATTTTAAACATTTCGTGAAATGAATATCTATGTTAAGCATATCAATTTTACATTTTTTTATTTTTCTCAAACGAACAGGAAGACGCCCAAGAAGACTTCTATGGCATTTGAGAAAAATAAAAAAATGTAATATTTGTATAAGTAAAAACTTAAGGTCATTTGAGTCATTTAAATTTTCCTTTTCCTTATTTACAGTATTGTACCAATAAACACGTGCCACACCACTGCAGGGAATTCAATGATCTGATTATGTTGTAAACAGCGATCATTATCAAAACGTAGTTAAGTAATCGTAATGTCGTTAATAATAACAGAGACGTTTCAGATTGTGAAGATAATTGAAATACCTAATAGTTCCCTGCATGTTAATAGCAAAAGTATTCCGTTCAAGTGCGTATGGTACCTACACATTAAAATCAGATACAAATTAAACTGAAGTACGATGTAGTCCATTGTAGTGAATATTATAGGATCACGAAATTGGTAAACTCGTTCCTTTAACCCCTTGCATAAAACAGTTGTCAGCATTTTTTGATGAAATTTTCTATTACAATAGCAGTTCAAATGCATTACTTAACAGTAAACATTTTAACGACATTGTTTCTTATGAGAATTAAAAATTGATCGTGCTAGTAGGTTATTGTTTATTTATATTTTTTTGTACAATTGCTTACATTTATTTAAACATCAATAAATTTATTTTATACAGATAAGTAATAAGAGTTGATAAAAGTGGGTACTACTTATGATTAATAAAGCTTCCTAATCTTAAACCCGTTTTAATTTGAATTGATTAATAAATGTGTATTAATTATATAAAACTAAATATTAGTTTGTACAGATTGAATCACCAAAACAAATTTACAGAAAATGTTGACAAATAAAAACATTGTTCTATTGTATATTATTGTGATACTTTGAATGGAAGAACGTTGTTTCAGAAAGTTCAAGTGTCTATAAATATATAATTTATAAAAATAGTATTGACTAGGGACAATTTATTTTTTTTGTCAAATAACCAAATAAACGAGTGTTGTTTTTCATAATCATGTAAAATATACGGTCGATCTTGAAAGCTTTCAAACTGGAAATGAAATAACAATGTTTCATAAAATGACGGTGCTGTTCTCGGTGTGATTTATTTTAAATTATTACATTTTCAAGAAGTTCACAGTTCCCCCAAAGATCTTTAACTGTCTGAAATTACACGGAACAAACTTTTTTTCATCTTTAATGTTAAAGTGAGGTAGGTACATTAAAAGGTTAAGTAGTCAAATCGCGCAAATATAGCAGGTGGTCAAGTTGCTCGTTATTTTTTAGAGGCAAAAGTCAAAAGTTGCATACTGCAGTGGTTCTTGAAATAAAAAAATTTAAGACGTATCAAATCACTTTTTTAGTTATTTAGCGCAAGAGTTGCTTCCAGTTTGTATAATTGCTTTGGACAGTGGGCTTTTTTTAAAAAAGAAATCATGCTTTTAAGTAATTGATATTAATGTTAATTATAAATTGTCTTGGTCTTGTTAAAAATAAATTGGAAAAATACGTATAATTGTAACGTATTAATTGTTTAGCTGGATAAAGGAGGCCAAACGTTATCGTCGTTAACTTGTTACAGGATAGTTCATTCGATTTGTAGACGTGGGTCACAGGTTCTTGTTAAGCAAGGTCGGGTTAGGGAGTTAATGGGAATATTGCGAATATTGGTGAACGTAGAACAAGCCGTTAATTATGGCGGCGAGTGGGACGATGGCAAGGGTTCCTGGAAACCTTGCAATGAGATTACTACAATTCCCTGCTAAGTGTGTGACTAGGATTATTTCTTCCACGTTATACAATGTCAACTTGATTTTTCTATCACACATTATTAAAAAAAATAACTGAATAAAAATAATGTTCTATTAATATTACCATTACTAACAATAATATTTAACTAGAAGTAGAATAAAAATTTTTTTTAGTTATTAAATGTTGACGAAAGTGTTAATTTTAGTATATTTAATAGAAACAAATATGAATAACAGTACCTCATGACTAATTGCATGTAATTTTATCATATTGTTTTTATATTTAGGTTTAAGCTCATTATGCAATGCTTTCTATATTAATATGTAGTGGAATTTGTAGCACGATAAAAAAAGTAATTCTACATGTGTGAGCAGAACAAAAACATGCATTATGCTTTCAAATAAATAAATCCAAGCTCCTTCCATTTAAAAAGAGAGGGTAGGTGTCTCCTCTCCCTTGCTAGGAAGCCCCTGCCTAGATTTATTGCATTCAAAATGGTGGCCCTGTTGCACCGTTTAATTTAAAAGAAACCTTATTTTGATATGAGTAGTAGTTTCGGAGAAAACAGCTTGTAACACTTTACTTGGGACACTCTGTATAAGTTATGAGGGGAAAAAGTAGAATGGATTTCAAGAATTTTTGTTTCTGTAAAAAAATTGTTTAATTAAAAACCATTAGGTACATTGGAAAGAGCATAGTTGTGTCTACAAAATATCAAATTTTCATTAAAAATTCCGAGGAACAAGCGACGGTAGGTGTTTCCGTATGAGTGTTTTTCAAAAAAGGCGTCTGCCGTAACTATCATACTCACCTTGTTTTTTTATCAGAAACAAAAAAGGAAAAATTATTATATAAAGAAGCTAATACTTTTCGTCGTCGATTTTTGTTTCTTCAATTTTTCGTAAAATGGCGGATAGTTGAACATAGAAATTGGTTTCATGAAAATGTGAACTTCTTTAATGTATAAAGAATAAACTACGATATTTAAAAAGAAAATTCTTACGATAAAGATCAGATAATTACATCAGGAATCCCTCTCTTAAAATTCAAGTAAATCGGTCCATTCATTTTTGAGATACAAAGATACCGCTTTTACAGCACCACTTTAAAAAAAACGCTTTTGAGGTTCTACCTGCGCGCGAGAGACTGTTCGACTAGGTGTCTATTACAAGCTGTAAGTTCGTTAATTTTATGAATTTTCAGACCAAATTTTCAACAATATAGTTCAAGAATACAGTTTGAAACTAGAATTACCAAATTCAAATGTTTTGTAATAATCGGTTTTTTTGACCTACTTGGGTGTACATAGCCCCTTAAATCATGGTTTTCGATTGTTAAACACAATTATTTTTACACATTTGTAACCGTGAGAATATTAAACATTGTTTAATCAATTATGGAACTGTAACTGTTACTGTAAACATAAAAAACTGCGAGGAACCGAATTCCTGTAATGACCCATGGTATTCAAACGGTTCAGAAAAATGAAAAATAATACATGGAGGCAGTTCCTTAACTATTATTATAATAGTTACAATAAAATAGCGGTACTTACGTTTGAGCAATTCTTCTCTAGCTTTCGCCCATACAGGTCTTTTCGCGGTCGTAAGAATACCGACAGGCGGAGTTCTGGGATCTGCTTTCGTTTCCATGATGGTTAGAATTTGCTGGACCAATTCTGCCTCTGTTATGCGACCTCTATCGGATGCTCTGACTGGTACGCTATAAAACTAAAATATATTCTTTCTTTATACGTATAACAATAAGAGGTAGTTATGCACAATAGGGGACTCCTTACCGATTTGGATGACCTTGAAATATGTTGTCAAGGTCAACATTATGAACAACTTTTCCGTATACATGTAACCGCCGCTCAGTTTTAGTTTTCGAGATATTCGCGACAAATTGCTGCTACAAACTACTGCTTTTAATCCTTTGGACTCGACTGTCCCCTCTGAAGGGACAAAATGTATGGAAAATTAGAAATTTCGAGTGGAAAGGGTTAACAATACAATGAATTCTGCATATACCTACACGTCCATGAAAGTGTATTCGTTGGCATGTGACCAAGGATTATCTACTGTTTCTATAAATACATCGCAATAGAATATTTTTTCTTAAATTGTCTGTAACCAATTGTGAATACTTTATTTCTTGGACTGTCTCTACCAATTCCGATCAGTGTAATGCTTTAGAGTTGATTAGAGGCAGTTCAAAAAAGGAGTAATTCAATGTTGGTTAGAGACAGTTCAATAAAAAAAGGGTAATTATACAAAATAAGGGAGCCACCCCCGATTTCAATGACATTGAAATATGTTGTCAAGGTCATCATTCTGGACAACTTTTTCCTATAGGTGCATATAATAGTAGATCTCTTTCAGTTTTCGAGATATTCGCAAGAATATGTTTACCACTATGTATATCGGTTGCTAATTATTTGTTAAGATTTACTTTCAAATTAAGGGTGAAGATTTACAGTATTTGTGTATTATGAACTTACATACTATACAGGGTGTAAATACTTACATAAAGGGTGTAACAAAAATGTTGGAGGATCCAGAAGTGGGAGACTCGTGACATGATTTGAAACAACTTTTTCCTTAGCAAAAATGTTATCCGTGGCTTTGTTAACGAGATATTAACAAGAAACGTGTGTGTATGTGTGTGTGTCGTGTTTGAAGGGATGTTGGATGCGTGGTTTGCACTAGGTGGTGTGTCATTGGATGTTGAGTGTCGTTAGGCGACCGCTTGTGCTAGAATGAACTGCAGTCGTAATCTACGTTTAACTAAAGTTTTTTGCAAATATCTCGGATAATAAGACCGAGCGGCGGATACACATATAGGGGAAAGTTGTTCAGAATGTTGACCTTGACAACATACTTTAAGGTCACCCAAATCGGTTAGGAGTCCCTTATTGTGTATAATTACCCAAGAGAAAATAATAAACGTTTAAACAGTGAAATCCTCAAAAATTGGAGAATTGAATTACCAAGTAGGTTCCTGACATTTTTTTTTCTATACCAACGTAACTCCAGGAAGGGATATTTCATGACAAATTGATCACGTTTTAAACCCGATGTCACTAAATTGTATAACATTGAAATATAATATGGTCCATGCGAAAGTAGAGGGAGTCTGAGTCATAATTTTGCTGATAACGGAATTTGAAAAATATGAGACCTCGAAGTTTACAAGTTCTGCCCGTTTTCACGAAAACTAAGTGCATAATATAATTTTTATTTTTGGTATTATTAGCCATAGGTACAGAGTTTGTCTTTTTACTCGTAAATGGTTAATTTGTTCACACAAACTTTTATTTTTTCAAAAGAATGTACGGGTTAGGCCACGTAACTTGTTCGTTTGCCTTTTTTTTGGTTATTAATATGCGTACGCTGTTTATTCAGATATCTTCCTTTTATTTTCTTCTGCGTCTATATGTGTATACATATATACATGGTGTTTCGTTTAACTGGAAACGTTGGAATATCTTACGAAAAATTAAAGTTATCAAAAAAATGTTCATACAAAAGTTGTTTCGTACAAAGGGGGACATTACGTGGTATAAATAATTTTTCTGTAAGTGTAGTAGTGGGGGAGATATCAATGTCAAGTTAATTTTTTTAAATGGAACTCTTTATTTTACTGTAGTAGGAAGTGATAAATTAGTAAGATTTTAAGAAGTCAGTTCAACGCAAATATATTTCTACATATATGTATATGTATATATGTATATATTACATCTTTGTATCGACAAATGCGTTTTTCATTAAACTGTTTGTGTTTATGCAACAAAAGTAATAAAATATAACGCTCAATGAAAAGTCAATAAATAAAAATGTCTTTGTCTGCAATTTAGCGTCTATTCTGAAGAAATCCGCTAAATTCAAAATGAAATCAAAAATTGAAATTATGATGACCGAATGTTTACACTAAAAATGTCCAAGTAACAGGTAAAGAACGGTTTCTTTCATAATTTTTGTTTTGGTGGAATCTTTTTGGAAAATGCAGACCCCTTTGTGAGAAAACTGGATGCTTTAATAATCGACGTTCTAGATTAATACCTGATTATAATGTGCGACGATTATGTGATCACCCGATGACGCTCTGTCAAGTATAACTTGTTCGTCGCCGTTCACCCCTGGTCGTCGATAAATGCGGAACATTTGATAGTGTTGAGCCATGCATAGCGGTTGTATAATCTTTCCATCTTTCGACTTGACCTTCTCGACTTCCAAACCATTTCTGAAACAAAAATATATTACATGATATTACAGTGAAATATTGGCTTTATCTACAAACTTCACAACTTATTTATATTTGTAAGTTTTTAAATGAATTTCCAGTATCTATAATCTTCAGCAACATCTGAACAATTGTTTGACATTTCTTTTGTAAAATAACTTACGTTTATCAAAATTACTTGAAAATTATTTCGTATATTGAATGTTGTATATCGTATATTAATATGTAGTTTTAAAGGTAAAATTCTAAGTATCCAAATTGTTTACTATTTATGTCAGTATCCATCGATACTGTATTTTATTATTTCTGTGTATATTTTTTATGTGTAGTTCAAAAAGTATTTTTCAATCTTTGCTACTGAAAAAAACATTGTTCCGTAACTTGTCCAACTTCCTTCAGATTTAATATTCGAAAATTAATGTATAGTGTCTAATGAATTATATAAGAAAGTAGAGCCGATTTGCTTAATTTTTTTCGGCATGTCATGCACGCCATTTTGTAACTATGCTAGTTAAAAGAAGTTACAAACTAACATTTCAGAATTAACGTTTTGTTGTTATTCAGAGTATGAATTCATTTAAAAAATAACATTTTGTTATATTTTTTTGTATCTACTTATTCTACTCAAGGAGAAGAGAAAAAGTTCAAATGAACTTAAATACCGTTAACGAGCAGTTTTCGAACTAGAAGCGAATAAATGTTTTCGCAGTGACTTCCTTCTATACATAGTTATACGAAGATAGAAACAGCTATCGCTCGTTTGTCTCGTATTAAGTTTCAGCCAAGTAATAAACGTATGGCATAATAGTATACTGTTTACATATACAGGGTGTTCAAAAAAAGGGTATAAGACTTTAGGAGCTTATAGTACTCACCAAGTGGAGTAAAAAATGTTGAGTCAACATAGGTTCTAAAATAAATCCTTTTTTAGAAATACATTTGTTGAAGGTTGTATGAGAGTAAGAACTACGAGATCTGGCAGGAATGTTTGAAAATGTACGTCGATCTCGTAACAAATGTGAAAATAAACTTTTATATTTTTCATCCAAAACATTGCTTTTTGGACCTGTGTTAAAGTAGAAATTGTTTAGTCCACTAAGTTAGCATTGTAAGCATCTGAAGTTTTACGAATTTAGGTTAAAGAGTTCGAAATATTGGAATGTGTCTTGATAATTGTAGGCCGACGAATAAAAAAATAACGAAACTGCACAGCGAACATCGTATCTCGAGAACTATCTAACAGTTAGGATAGATAGGAATAGTGCGTTAAAGTTGTTAATGTATGACACATATTGACGATGGACACATTGAAGTAGGAAATCTATTCGGTTTACAGAAAAATGTCGCACGAGAAGAGTCCTTTACGTAGATGTTACTGGCTGGTCTCTAATGTCGCGTATTTATGCAACTAATTATTTTCTCCCTTGTTTCGGTCAGTCCATTTAAGGAATTTATCCTGGGATAGGGACTTCTATGGCGTTTGGTAAAGTAACTATTCGAATTGCCTGTTTGGAACAAAATCCTTTATTGTCTGCTTTACTTTGTGCCGCTGACACTGATTTCTTTAACGCAAGCCTTTCAAAATGCTTATCTTCACCCTCTGTCCTTGGTATGGTCCACGTGGTAAGCAAGACCAAACGTTTGCAAGATATTTCTCAACATCTTCGACACCGTGAAAAACAGGACTTTTTTCAAGAATTTACTCTAGAAAAACTGCTCGATGAATTGATTTGCCTTTTTTTTATTAAAGAAGAGGTACATTGTTTTAAAAAATTGTCGAAGTTGCATATAAACAAATATGACTGACACGTTAACTTCTGTACATGCGTTCAGCGTGAACAAAGCTGCATTGTCGGCATGACTTAAGTTTCCATGGTGATTCGATTTGAAAATAGATAGAATTTTATTAAATTTACTTTTCCCTTTTCGATGACTAGGACACATTTGTTAAAACAAGTTTCATGGTAATTTCCAATTCGGCAAATTTGTTTACCAATCTCAGCCGATTCAGAGATGTGGATTACCCCTGAAAGTAGTGACCATTACTTCTTTCATAGACTGGACAGGGTGTACGAAGAAGGGGCTTCTACAACATGACTAAATCCTACTGAGTGGCTGTGCAGTAGTAGATCCTTGTCTACACATATAATTATACACAGTTAAATTGTTGTAAAATTTTTAAGAATTTACTACATCAAAACGGTACATACACGGCACGTAGTTCCTTCAGAACTTTCTCTTTTTGCGTTGAATAGAACGCGTAGATTAAAAAAAGCTTAACACTTTCGTTCACTCTTTTAAGTCGCATTTACTAACTACAAAAGGTTTAAGTAAGTTGTAAGTAATTTCATTTCTTTGGGGAACTGGAACAGTAAACGAATCAGATTAACACGCAAAAAGAATTCTCCAATAAAAAATCGTCTTCCAATCTTTGACAAATGTAACGTACAAATAACTGTTAACTATTTAATTACACACTTCAGGAAATATTCGATATTATGACAAAAAAAACAAAATAAGTTACAACGTAAACGAGAACTTTCCAACTATAAAAATTGACATCAATTTTTAATTTTTCAATAAAGAATTTTGCTTTTGCAAATGTTCATCGATTCAATTCATCTCTGAAAGTAGTGACCATCACTTTTGCTACGCCCTGTACATACTGCATTTTAAAGGAGTACAGAAAAAATCGATTTTCTGAATGTGACAGAAGAATCTGAGTAATCTAATCGTCCACACGAGTCGTAAAATTGGTGGCACGAAGTCGAGCACGTCTTATGCGAGTGTTCGAAGCTTCCTACGAAAGCTCTGTCATTCGAGGCTGATTTGTCGGAGGACAAAAAGAAGCCGCACCGAAATCAATTTAGCGAAGGGAGGCACGTCTGCGAGGAAATCCGGGATCTAAGATCCATAGAACGCGAGTATAAAGAGACTCGTTGCGAGAGAAACGTAAAGGATGCTCTTGTATGGAAAGGATGAAAGCCTTGATCCTGTATCCGCTCGGGAAGGAAGCAGGAAGGAATGTTCCCTTTCTTTCTTTTCAAGAATTAACGCAGATTCGTTCAGACGTTTCAGTGAATCCTCTTGCTCTTCCCAATGAACTGACACTGAGTAGTTTGGGAGTTTGGAAATCACTTGAAATATTCACAATTTATAAAAGAATATTATAGAAATTGTGGACGGTGTTTGAAATATTATTTGAAATATAATTATGACAATTTGACAAAGAAACGTATCACGGAAATGTATACTTACGTATCTAATAGTTCTTGATAGTTAAGTAGCTCTGTTAGGAATCTCGCAAGAAACGCTGCAGCCTCTTTTTGGTTGGAAAATCGTTTGGGTCTCGCCGCTAGCCCAGGATTACTATTAATTGGTAGAGCCAATGGGACAGATAGGTACATGTCACTTAACCACCAGTCGGTTGCCTGAAAACAGACCAAAACAAATAACAATTATTAATTATGAATTCTATTTTGAGAAAGTTATACTTAATTAACGGAGAATAAAATTGTACTTTTCTGATTAAAATTAATAAACTCGTAACTGATGGGCTCAATTACAATTTTTATTTTTCAAACTTCTGTTTATTTCGTTCAAAATTTTGTCTTTTTACAACTTAATGTCGACTTCTCGTGGACTTTATAATGTTGAAATTAAGCATCTCCAATAAATTTTTTTATTCTTCCTTCTCTTTAATAAGGTTTTTCATTGTTACATACAACTTATTTCCATTTATGTAGCAATGTCAGTCCGATTTTCATAGTTTGTCGATTGTTTTTGTCGTGAATACAATTATTTCCGTAATTGACTGTCGGCAAACATAGTAAACGAAACTGAAAGCTTCCCGTTCGCTCGGGACGCCTTTGTTTAATCCGAATTTAATGACGTGTCGCAGTAATCCTTATTGAATTTTTGTAAAAGATTCATGGCTGCCATACACGCAAACAATTATTCCGGATTTCTCGTTATTATCCCTCGATAGCTCGTTAACTATTATTGAACGACTTAAATAATTATTGTATATAATTTTATGCTGTTATTATCATTATTACTATGATTATGTGTACAGTGATGATATGAAAAAAAAATATTATATGTATATCAAACATTAAAACTGTTTACATATAATAACAGCATTACTATTGCATTATCATATGAACATTGCTGTGTAATCATTACTTAAATTATTGTTACGATTTTATTACGCATGAAATTGTTAAAAACATAATAAAACAGATTTGTAAGACACATAGAGTTCAGTTTTTGAAATTATATCTTCCTTTCATTATTATCTAAAGCGTAATTGGAGGCCACTATCAGATATGAAGTAAAATAGCTGCAATTTCCATTTTAATTACCAGTTCTCTCGTTTTGTTCGCGCTATTAGGAAGCTTCGTTACTATGCGGTTACATGTTTCGCAGATTTCACGCCCAATTGTGTACGACAACAATGCATCGAATTCTTTTCTGCACATCGAAAGTTCACTTCTACTGAGGAACATATTTTTCCATAAAACTTTACATTGTCATCATTACGGCAAACTATTACTTAAGATGCTTATCTTAACTTTGTTCCGATTGTTAATTTTTATATGTTATTGAGCACTTGAAATATCGAATACAGAAATGATGTGGAAAAAAATATAGGTAGGATCAAGAAAAATGTTTATAAAACCAACTAGTCATTTATATAGGAAAATTGAGGAAATTAAGAGATCTGACTTTATCATATTTTATCCAGAATCGTAAGCTGTTATCTATAATATAATTCTGGAACCCAGAGCCAGAGTGTAATTAAGTCACACTTTTCACACTTTAGAGGAGAGCAAATCAAAGGTGCGAGAACCTTGTAACTGTGGAACCGTTCGGTAAGAATTGAGCGAAAAACAATCGCTAGCGTCGAACTAAAATGGCTATACAGTAAATTCTTGATGAATGTTCGAAGCCTCCTCTGCACTGACAAGGAAAGGTCCCCAAGTGTAACGCTGACTTTTTAATGAGATTTAGCACCGTGATAGAGCTCGGAATTCTGATGACAATGTTATTTGTTTCAGTCGCTTATGGTCATTAGTTTACGAAATATTTAATGTTCAATGTTGATGAGCCTTCGAACACTCATCGAGGATTCACTGTATGTAGAAATCGTGAACATTGTACTAATTCCTCTATGTGATGGATTTTACACTATTTTAAAAAAATGAACTTAATATCATTTTTACACTATTATGTACCTATATTAAAACCTAGACGGTTTAGAACGAAATAATTTTTATCATCGGAAACAGTGAAATATTTGATACAGGAAACATAAAATGTCGTTTTTTAAAGAAGTAAGCTTAATGCACTTTGGCTCTGGGCTCCAGAATTGGTTTATAAATAAATAACAATTGAAATGGCTCGATTGTGATACACATTGCGTTTTGGTGTAAAAGGCGGTTAAATCAAAGAATTATTATTAAATTCGTTCCTACGTCTCGTTTTAAACAGATGTAAAAGGTTCCCTCATATTAATGGATTGGACTTCGATCTCCTCTACACAAACGTTGTGAACGTCTTAGATTTATAGTAAAAATGATATATTACTACAAGTTCTAATTTGTTGACTATGATCAGCAAACATTTCGTCGATAGATTTTCATTTAATTTGCAGTTTGAGTCATTTTTTAAGAGATCAGTAGTTTCGAAATAAAAGAGCTATAACTAAAAGTGCATTGCTGAAATGTTTTAACTCTCCGTTGTCACACTGCTCAAATTGATCTAGAATTTGAGTTTGCAGTAAAATATCTTTGAGGCATCATTGAAAATGGTACTACTGGTGTCATGTAGTAGTAATTTCAGGTATCCTAAAAAAACTTTTTTCAGAATTTTGTTTTCTTCAAGAAGATTTGTTAAACATGATGAAATTTTCAATGTTAATTGTTCACCACGGAAATATAATCTACAATGTTGCAACTTCATCTTATAATTTTGTGCGACTTAAGTTCTTAGTTGATTGACTATTAGCTTGGGTCAAATTAACCCTTTGTGACCACTACGTTTGAAAAAGGAGGTGTGACAACGGAGATTTGACAAAGGAATACAGTATCTATTGCAAATTCATTAATGACTTAATTAATCATTGAAAAGTATGTATACAAATTGATGCTATTTACTTTAGTATAATTGATAATATAAATATTAAAATGTTACATTTCCCATTCAATATCACAGTTTTATGCGTACCGGCCTAACTTTTCTAGTAGGTATTCTTTATTCTTGTATAGATCCGAGATTTTTATAATTGTAACATTTTCATCGCTTTTAGAATAAATATTTACATAAAATATTAGTTTCAAATATGTCTTTAGAATATGTAGAAACGTGTTGCGAAAGAATTGTTGTCTTTTGGTTACCCTAAAACTATTTATGATTATCCTTTACGTGAAACGGTTTTTTAAAACAATACTGGGTTACTGCGTTGAATTTATTAGAGCTGAAAATTATTCAGTACCTCGTTTCCGAATCGTTGTAACAGATTGCGTTTTTCTTTAGAGATACCTATAGACGTGGATATTTCTGGAACTTTGCGATGGCTGGCATTACACTTGCACGGACTGCCGAGAGATAAATTTGGAATAGAGAACGATCGAATGTTTTGTCAGACATTAGACGTACTACTGATAAACATGATGGTATATATACTCCGAAGTGCGACGGTTATAGCTTGTGGCATAAAAGGCAATTGTTCTTTACATACAATAGATTCTTATTTTCGCATGATAGTTGAATATGAGGAGAGCTTCCTCGTATCTAAAAGTGTCTTTCCTTGAACGCCTCTATAAATGGAGAGAAACTTTTGCCTTTTTTTAGACGAGTTTAGTGTTACACCAGCTGCGTGTATGTATTGTAATTTATATTATTTCGCCAATTAGCTTAATTTGTTTGTGGACTGTTGCTTTAGGGATCTTGTTTGTGGTAAAATTGCTGGTGAAGGTTGTTCCAATGAAATTCTCTTGGCGGACATTTGAAAAAATGCGCAGCAATCGAGGATGATATGTTTTATAGATATAATACAATTAAAGGTATCGCAGTAGTATGCATAATAACTTAATAACATCAATATAAACATAATATAAAATACTAACTCAATAATAACGTAAACAATAATAAGTAAGTAACTGGGGAACATATAACGACTTAAAAGAACTATCGCGGAGTAAGAAGAATGCTGTCATGGAATAACCAGTGTTTCGTGAAAATTCAATTTTTGATTTTTCCATTAAATTCCAGCAGGAAAACAAAATTACCACTTTCTCTTATAACACAATGACCTTATCACGAAAGAAACTTTATCGAATGAATGGGCATAATTTCGGACTTAATTTTGAAATAAAATAGAAAAACCAAACCTGAAACTGTACAAAATTTAACGCAGTAGTTATATTTTTACAGTTGAATGCTTTAATCCAGTTTTTGGTTTTTGTTTAATTTACAATATAAACTGTGTTTTGCATGTAATAACACGGTTAACCGATCATTTATTGTTTATTTTACTCTTCCTGAAAAATATTGAACATTATAATTTATACATTTCTCTATTTTACAGTTACAATTTGCGTCTGTAAGTGCTCTACATTATGTATGAAGTAAAAAAAATCGTTTTAAATGATCGTTGAATATTCCTTTGGTAAAGGACGAAGATTAATCTTAGACTTCGCTGGTTCTCAAAGGAACGAAAAAAAATCATGTCGTTAACATGTTTGTTTCATCAATCGTCTCGTCTTCGCACGAAATTGCGCAAACGGTGTGCAACGCTGCACGCTTTATGCGCTAAGCGCAACGGGAACGCAAATCAGTCCGCAAAACTCCGTGCAGCGAAGTTGTCGGGCAACATTTCTCTGGCGGTTGCTTTGATTCGCACGAACGCGATTAACCGAATTGTGAGTAGATAGATGAGAAAGCATCATCGAGCGGCGTGATTCTGCTAGCGAGAGTTCAATAGTCCTGCTCGAAAATATTCAAACAAATCAATAGACTGCGGATTTTATGCATTTATAGACTCTAAGCTCTGTGAAATACAGTAAAAGACAAAAGTGTCATCGGACGCAACGAGTTTCTTCTTTTATTCTTGACTCAATAAGATACTTAAGAGAAGAAAGAAATTCCTACTTTTGTTCTTATCCTTAAGAGTTACTTTCTAAAATTTTATTTTGCATAAAAATCCGCAGTTTACAAATCAAGATTAAAGAGCATTTAGTTATATAGAAAGTGTCTTAGCACTGCAATTGAGTTGAAAACGTTTCAAGTCTTGTAAGTTTTGAAAGTATTGAAAATTTTCACATATATTGAGAAACATTGTTCCTTTTTAATTGTGTGCTTTTATTTATATGTTCGACACTGTTGGTGATTGATATTTGTTGAATAATAATTTTTAAGCATTGAAAAA